CTCCCACGGATAGCCCCGCGTCCAGATCTCGTAGAGCACCATGGCGTAGGAGTAGACGTCGCACTTCTCGTGAAAGGCGCCGCCGTCGAGGTACTCCGGCGCCATGAACGCGGGCGTGCCGCAGAGTCCGGCCGTCGCGCGCGTCGCCGCGAGGTCGTCGCACTTGCTCAGGCCGAAGTCGCAGACTTTCCCGCGGCCGTCGTGGGTCAGGAGGCAGTTGAGGCTCTTGAGGTCCCGATGCTCGATGCGTGACTTGTAGAGGTAGGCCATGCCGCGCGCGACGTCCGCGGACCAGACGCGCTGGCGCTCCGCGTCGATGGCGCCATCGGCGTCGAGCGCGTCCCGCAGCGAGCCGCCCGGCAGGTATTCGAGGACGAGCCCGAGGTACGTCGGGTCGGTGGTGACGACGCCGAGGACCGCGACGATCCGCGGCGACCGGAGCCGGACCATGATCGCGAGCTCCCTGGAGAACTGGGAGAACATCCGCTGGCGGTCCGCCGCCGTCACGCCCAGTTGCGACATTTTCTTCAAGCAGACCGCCTCGCCCTGGTACTCGGCGAGATGCACGGTGCCCTGGCCGCCTCGCGCGAACGGCTCGTCCTCGACGTCGCGCAGCTCGACCTCGAATTCGGCGATGGTGCAGCTCGACGCCCGCGGCCTCGCGCCGTAGGATTCGATGTCCTTCGTCTCCTCCGTCTTGAGGATCTCCAGCGCTGTCGCCTCATCCTCGAAAACCTCTTGCTTCTCGGCGTCTCTTCGTCGCCTCACGACGACGAGCGCGACGACTGCAAAGAGCGCGCACGCTGCCGCGGCGGCACCGCTGCCGATGGTCGCCGCGTCCGTGTCTGCGCTGGAAGAGCTCGTCCCGGATTCCGTTGCGTCCGTCGCCGTCGGCGCGGCGCTCGGCGGCCGCGTCCGGGTCTCCCGCGTCGTCTCCACCGTCGACTCGGTCTCGATGAGGGCCACGGACGCGTCGACGTCGACCGTCGCGTCATATTCCAACGCGTCGCCGAAGGCGCCCGACGCGACGGCGTCGCTGAGCTCGTCGACGTAGCCGTCGTTGAGCGCCGCGGCTTTCTCGTCGTCCGTGGCCACAAAGGCGACGGTGAAGTCGACGCGCGCGGCCGCCTCGGACAGCCGGCGCCGGCGCCGCGCGGCCGCGACGCCGTCGACCGTGACGTCGTCCGCCGACGGCACGAGGGGCACGGACGCGGCGACGGCCTCGGCGAACGCGGCGACGGCCGCCGCGTCCGACGCGAACGTCGCGGCGTCCACTCCCGTCAGGACGACGCTCGACGAGCTCGCGACGACGACGACCTCCGCGAGGAAGGCCGTCGGGGCGCGCGTCGGCCGGGGCGTCGGTTCCGGGGTCGGCGCCGGGGTGCCTTCGGGCGCCACGGCGCCCAGCGGGGTCGTCGGCGAAGCGAGGGGCGCGAGCGTCGGCGCGGCGGGCGCGTGGGGGCTTTGCGACGGCGCGGGGGTCGGCCGCGGCGTCGGCTCGGGCGTCGGCCTCGGCGACGGCTCGGGCGACGGTCCCGGCGTCGGCTCCGGCGTCGGCGACGGGCTCGGGCGGTACGACGGAGTGGACGTCGGCGTAGTCGGACCGGACGTCGGGTCCGCCACAGTCGGCCTGGGCGTCGGGTCCGCAGGCTCCGAAGTCGGCTCCGCGGACGGCTCGGGCGTCGGCCCGGGGGTTGGTTCGTAGGTCGGCTCGGGCGTCGGCTCCGGCGTCGGCTCCGAAGACGGCGCTCGGGTCGGCGCGTGGCACTCGTAGCCGTCGTTGCAATCGCAGTTGTCCGTGCCAAAGTCGCAGTCATCGTCCTCGTCACAAACGCCGTCGTAGGCGTACTGGCACGAGTTGCCGCCCTCGCCCTCGCAGTCGGCGACGTCCGTGCCGTAGGCACAGAACTCGCCCTCGTCGCACTCGCCGTCTTCGGTCCAGCCTCTCGAGGCGCACGTCTCGTCGTCGCCCTCGTAGATGCCATCAAAGCTGAGCCAGGTATCGATCACGTTTTCTTCATAAGACCCGCTCCAGCGGTCCTTCCCCGTCGCGTCGCACCATTCGCCGTTGCAGTCGCACAGGCCCCCGTCGTCGCAGTTGCAGTGGTTCACGCAGCAATCGGACACGTCCCGGTCCCAGGGCGTCCCGCAGCAGAAGTCGACGTCGCAGACGTAGTTGTCGTCGTCGTCGACGCCGCAGTAGATGCCCTCGTCCGCGCAGTACGGCACGTCGTCGTCGCTCTCGTCCTCGCTCTCGTCGGCGTCCTCGTCGTCGCTCTCGTCCTCGCTCTCGTCGGCGTCCTCGTCGTCGCTCTCGTCCTCGCTCTCGTCGGCATCCTCGTCGTCCGAGGAGCCATCGTCATAGTAGTAGTCGTCCCAATAGTCGTCGTCAAAGTCGTCGTTGTGGTTCAGCTGCCGCCGCGCCGGCAGCGCGCGCACGCGCTCCGCGGCCGCGCCCTGAGACCCGGCCGCGCAGAGGAGCAGCCCCAGGGCTGCCATCCTCTTTTCCCTTTGAACTAATTGATTTCTATCCTGATACAATGAAGAAATCAAAAGCAAACTTGAAGTTTATTATTTTGATGGCTTCGGACGAAAGCACGCGGCTTAGGACGAAAGCACGCGGACGTCCGGCGAGACACGCGATGGACATGTAATCAGCGCGGACCGCGCCCCCCGATTATATCGTCGGGTGGATCTCCGGCTACACTACGAATTGTTTTTTAGTCCATCGAAAATCCGACGACGTTCTCCGGGTTGAGCGCGATGTCGAACGCCGCGGCGAGGGCCGCCTTGGACGTGAAGAGCGGGATGTCGATGCGGTTGAAGCACGTGTGGCTGCGTGGATAGACCGCGCTCGAGAGGTCGACGCTCGTCAGCGTGAAGGGCCGCCGCGCCCCGTCTCTCCCCATCAAGTGGTCGAAGCCCTGCACGGGCACGCGGCTCGTGCCCGTGCACCACTGGAGCAGCAGCGCGAGCCGGTCGTCGTCCCAGGTCTCCACGGTCTCCCAGAACCAGGCGACGACCTCGTGCGCCTCCCTCTCCCGGGCGAAGGCGCCCTTGTAGACCGTGGACCGCCTCCAGTCGGCCACGTCGATGTCCGGGTGGCCGCAGAGCGCGAGCTCCAACTCCCGCGCCGACAGCAGCATGCAGAGCTCCTTGGGCGCCACGGCGAAGACGCCCCCCAGAAAGGCCCGCAAGCCCCCGGCGCAGACGTCGAAGACGCGCTCGCGCAAACGCGCGGCGAGGAACGCGTCGACGTTCGTCCCGTCGACCTCGAGGTCCCGGCCGCCGGGGACGAGGTCCTTGGTGACGACGGCGCCGAAGCTGATGTGCTCGATGGAGAACGTGAGGCAGAGCGTCTCGACGAGCTCCGGGTCCATGGTCCGCAGCTGGTCGAGGCTCTTGAACAGCTCTTTGTCCACTAATTCCAGATCGCCGAGGGCCACGGGCTCGGACGCGATGTGCTTGAGGATGACCATGTTCAGGTGCGCGTTCGCGAAGTGGTGGCCCTCGAGCAGGGCCTTGCCCAGCAGCTTGCCCGCGAACGCGAACCACGCCGCCGCGTCCGCCATGACGAGGTCCGCGTCGTCGTCGTCGGCGATCTGGTACGTCAGGTTCTCCGACGACCCGACCTTGAACAGGCCCAGATTCGCGTCGAAGAGCGCCGCCGAGGCCAGCTGGAAGAACTCCCGCGACAGCCCCCCCGCGTCCAGGCCGTCCTCGCCGCGGAACTTGACGAAGAAGGGCTCTCGCCACCGGTGGTTCGGCAACTTCCCCAGCAGCGACAACGCGTCCGCGAGGAGCTGGCTCCGGTCGACGACGAACTCGACGCGCCCGACCTCCCAGGACACGCGGAGCGCGTCCATGCCCTTGCGGAAGGCCGCGACGCGCTTGGAGAACGTCCGCGTCTCCTCGAGCGCGAGAGCGACGTCGTCCGACGGCTTCCAGAGGCCGTCGACGGGCTCCGAGGCCCGGGCGAAGGTCAACGCGCCGTCGACGCCGTAGCGCTGGACGAAGCTCATGTCCAAGCCCCGCCAGACGACGGACCCCGTGCCGTCGTCGCGCCACGTGAACCGCCGCCCCTGGCCCGGGGATCCTCAGA